GGCAATTCACTTGTTTTGAACAATATATATATATATTTGGAGACCAATTAAACATATGTACAACAAAGTCTTCACACTATAGACATTATAGGTATATCATAAACACTACATAAGTAGTTCTCTCCTTGTCAAAAGTCCACTTAGGCCTATTCAATTACTTTAGAATTTCAGTTGACAATCTTCTCTATTACTATCGCACTAGTATTCTGTGCGTGATTCACTTACAATTATGGTGTGAGTTACCATAATTGTGTGGTCTTCTTTCTTCTGAAGATCCTCTGTTCCTTTTGTCAAAGATGCACTCAGACTGATTCAGTTACCTTAGAACCCCGCTTTGATGGAATAAATTATTATTTTTATCTACATTTCTACTCTTAGTCTTACTTTAACATATTAAATGTCAGGCCTATCACTTCTGTGGTACTTAACTTTTCCTTTTGTAACTTTACTTTCTTCTGCTATTATCTGTCTGCTGCTTTGCGCTTGTCTCACGCTATTTATATCTTTATCACCTAATCGTCTGTCTGCTTTATATATTCTTGACGTTAGTGTATTGCATTTGACATTCAATAGTCTCTACATCAATGAATTCTTAACAAAACCTCCTACAATCACCTGCTTTTAATTCTTATTGTAACAAAAACTAAACAATAATAAAATATTCACTCATAAAAACAAATCAGTCAATAACATCTAAACTAAACAGTCTTTTATATCATGACAAATACCTTTGGAACTGCATATGGGGACATGATAAGTATGTGGCCTAATGGGAATGTTATGATTTCAATATCTTTATCTGTCTTTGTCATGAAACAGACATTTACTTAAGATTTGGCTGAAAACTTGTGAACTTCTGGCTCATGAGTTTTTATTAACTTCAAATAATTGTCTATTATCTTGATAATGGTATAAGGAGATATGCCCAGCTTCATTAAAGTGGCTTTTCAGATCAAAATTTTATGAGCAGAGAAATGATGAAAAGCAAAAAGAATTACAAGCCTGCACTTTTAAGTGACAAATACAATTATGACAGCATTTTAATCAAACAGTGTGAAGTAAAATAACTTTGAGGTGAATAATAAGATATATAGGGTGAAATGTAAAACATAGAAAATTTGATAAACTAGCCTACTGCTGACGTAAAATCAAGTGTCAGACAGAGAGATCCTAATGAAGTATTCTGTGAAATGTGTAAGGAACAGTCATCCATGCAAAAGTGAAAATTTACTTGAAGACAGTGAAGCCAAGCAGAAACCAAATGTATCTCCTTGGTAAAATTCAGAACTGATATACAAACATTCCAAGGATAAAACTTCCACAAGTTTATATACATAGGAATAATAAGAAATACAATTTGAGATTAAAAGGTTAAAATTCAAGGAATTTGTGTACATATATTTAAAACATTAAAATCCACAAATGAACAACGTTTTATAATACACAATTAAAATCTCTATTTAAACTGATCAACAGTTGTAAATCTCACTCTTCATGTTTCAAAGTGGTTTAATATCATCTTAAGGAATGTAAAAAACAGTTACTCTGTGCTATATAAGTACAAAAGCCATGGTCATGTGACTACTAGTTTACAATTCAAAAAGAAGATCAAGCCATCTAACCCTTCATACTTATTTAAAATGAAGTTATTTTTGCTGTGTTTCATTATTTTAATGGTTTCTCTAATATTTCTAGCAGTCATATTATTTGGTTGAGCCAAAATAACCATTTTTTTCCCACTGGATGATATGTCCAGTATAATTTACATGTTCAGCTGAGGCAGAGTTTTCACTTTTGTTTTTAGCATTTCTCTTATGTTCATTTATTCTAAATTTTAGGTTTCTTCTAGATTCCAATGTTGTTCGTTTGTGGATTTTAATATTTTACAATTTGAGATGTCCATCTAAGCTATCAACAAGTTGAACAGGGTGAGAGACAGTTCCTTTCAACTTAAAGCAATGTAAGATCAATAACTAATTTATACTAGTAATAATAAAAACAAGTGTTCAAAACCTTTGATTACTTTCTTGGCTAGAAGACTTCAAAACCTCTTGATTAATAATATGGCAATCAATAAACTATTAAGGATACAGGCTAACCAAAAAAATACACGATATAAGAAAGTTACTAAAGCAACTGCAACATGTTACAAATATATATTTATTTTGAAAAACTTAACAAAAGTATAAAGTTTTATGTTCATCTAAGTGAAGCAATCCTAAGAAATAGGTAATTTCAATTTGTACTTGTTTAAAAAATTATATTCTCTTAGTAAAAAAAATATCATTATCTAAAAGCTTCAGATTCAGAGCAGCAGATGATCATTCTACAAGAGCTTAGTAAAAAAAATACTATTATCTAAAAGCTTCAGATTCAGAGCAGCAGATGATCATTCTACAAAAGCTTAGTAAAAAAATACCATCATCTAAAAGCTTCAGATTCAGAGCAGCAGATGATCATTCTAAAAAAGCTTAATAAAAAAATACCATTATCTAAAAAGCTTCAGATTCAGAGCAGCAGATGATCATTCTACACCAAAGCACAATAAAAGAATATGATCACCTAAACGGGGTGGTGACAAACTATGGACCCCCCTATATCCTAAAAAACAAATGAAAACTTATCACAATCCAAATGGTTAGCAAGAATTAATGCTATCTATTAGTGATGACAGCAGGCAAGCCCAGATTAATGCTAGGAAATTAAAACAAACTTTTATTGTTTTTGTATACCATACTTAAAATCAGTATAGAGAATAGAAGTCTCCTGCTTTGTGATTGCTGTTAAAATATAAATGTCATATAAGGCTATTCAAATGTATAATTTTCGATGTATAACCAGCGGAAAATAGGGGGGGGAGGTCTTGCAGCCCTTGAGGATGTTAGAGGGGCACACTTGTGGCCCACAGACACAAAGCAGTGTGGTGTGTGATTATTCTACACTACAGTTAAAGCAAAAGAAAATCAACATCTAAATGCTTCCAATACAGAGCAAGAAATTATAACTAAGCAAAATAGAAAAATAGTATTATGCCATAACCACCACCACCAGACAGCTTTAAATGCACACAAGCATTCATTCTTAAGCTGTTTCTGCTGACAAACAGTTTTCACAAAACTTACAAAGATTCTTCTTTCTGTCTGCTTTCTCCAGTCTGCAGCAATGGTACCACAGCTGGAGGGTGAGCTGAGACTGAACGTTTTCTGGGACTGATTGGCTTTTCCTCACGAAACAATGGCCTAAACATAAAATTTAGTTCACAAGCATGACCCGAGTTTAAAACCTGACACACACAGACAGCGGACAACTTACATTTTGGGCGTGTATCAAATTTGTTCAACTACTAATCAGTAAGTTACTGAAAAGGAAAAGTTTTAGATTCTGTAACGAACAGGCATTTTTAAAACTAAAAGCTTTTGTAAAAAAAAATTAATTAAAAATAAATTCAAATAAAACTATATGACATGTTTATAAGTACATAAACTGTATTCATAATTCACCACAACAAGCTTCACTTGCAGATAAAGCAAGAAAGACTCCAACTTTAATAAACACCTTTAAATTGCAGATATACAGTTAAAAGGAGTATAATGCTGAAACAATTACACAATAAATAATTTATTAAAACAGGAACTAGTAGTAAGAACATCAAAACATGTATAGTCATTTTAGGGCTGGTTCTTGTTTTAATAAATTATTTATTGTGTAATTATTTTAGCATTATACTCCTTTTAATTGTATATATTGCACAAGTTCCATTTTAAATTACATTTATCTTTAAATTGGTTTAATATTTTACTGAAGATTACCAATCTTATTTTAAACTTACTTTAAAACATATAATAATGGGTATCTGCTAAAACATAACATATAAGCATTAATATAAAACATTTGATATTTAGTTAATTTGTAGTATTCAAACATATCCAACATTAATTACAATAAAAAGTAGTTTCTTAAACCTTATATTTTCAAACATTAATGTACAACATATAAATAAGCACAAGAGTGAACGAATATTTTCCATAAAACAAAAAAAAATTACACAAAATCCCATAATGTGATATTTCTATTGTATTAGTGTTATTTTCTATTTGTATTTGAAAATGCCATGAGTAAACTAAGCAAACTGTTAAGTTTCTTTATTTCTTACTTTTATTTATATTTAGCCATTTAAGTAAATTATAATTTCAGTGCTGTTTGAGACTGTTTTCAACTTAGTAATGAAGACCACAAGTTATGTTTCATAACTGTGTATAAAAGTATTACACTTACAATTGATTATAAAATTTATTTTGTTTACAAATATTGGGATTATAAGTCTCTTGTCTGATAAGCTCATATACCTTGTACTTACACATAAATTTCATGACATTTAACCAGTAACTGAAGGAGACAGGTATTTTTTAAAGTATAATACAGTATTAAACATGCTAAATACTTGAATGTAGCACCTGAAAACTAACCTTACTATTACATACTCTTGTTGGTCTATTTTTAAATACCAAATAGTTAAATACTGTCCTCATGAGCATCAAATATTATATTTCTTACTGGTGTATTTTCATTGTAAGATGCAACAAAGAAATGGCTAAGAGATTATTTGTTTGAATCAGTGGATGAAAGAATGAACTACCCATAATATGCAAGAAAACAGACTGTGTTAATTTTAACCAGAATGTTTTAGGTTAGGTGTAGATACTATATCTGTCCAGCTAAAGTCTAACTCACAATACAATGAGATTCATGGGGACTTTGAAATATGTTTACTAATGCACATAAAGCCTAATCTGTAAAGAATATTTACACTATTTCCTTTGTTAAATCTTATAATCTTCGTATTTTAATCATAACCAAACTCAAGCGTAGATGAGAAAAAATTTTAATAATTCTTTTTTTGCTTTTTTATCATATGGAGTAAGGCAAATGATGTCTGTATAGAAGGAATTTCCCATTCTATTGTTTTGGTTTGATACTTATTCCATATTATCAAATTGTTATGGGCTTACCTAACAGCTCCATTGAAAATTATTGTTTATGCCTTACCAACTTTAATAACTTTTACTTTATCTATATAATTGTATTAATATTCATTTGATAGAATTTATTTTTGAATGTTCCTTAATTTATATAATAATTCCCACTAATGTATTTTAAGTTTAAACTTAGTGACATCTTAATGTAACAAAAAAATAATAATAATAAAGTTGCAGGTTACTCCAGTTTTTTAAAATTCCACCATGGGTAAGTCTGATTTCATGAGCATATTAAATTCCCAATTAAATGAAATTTCAAGAAAAGAATATTTTAACATCACAACAATGTAGCAAAATACAGCTGTGTCAAAGAAAATGATGTAAAGATATGTCATTTAAATTAGTTTTTAAAATATATAATGATACAAAAGTCTTACTTAATAAATTCCCTCATAGCACTTCTGACTTTACAATTCTACAGAAAATTATCATTCCTGTTTGACAGGAAGTGCTAATATGAAGATTTTTTTTTTTTATATTATTTTGGATAGAACAAATTAAGTCAATATCCACCTTGACATGGCAATCAGAACATCAGTAGAAAGAGGACTATCCCCTTCCACGGGTTTTCCTTGAATCAAGGGGGACTGCTCTCCATAGAAAGGTGTCCCCTGGGATCTAACACGGTACTCATCAGCCTTTTTTATCCGTTCTACAACTTCAGAATACCATGGGTTTGTTTCATCTAGCAGTTTTCCTTCAGCATCCTTACGAAACAAAATGTAGACTGACTATGTTAGCTATTTCAAAAACTGATAGTGAAAGAGAAATGTTAGGTGCTTTGAAATTGAACAAAATTAATTAAATAAATAAACATGAAACATCACAAATAAATCTGTTACCCTTAGTTTATGGGTTTTCTTCCAATTGCCATCCACATAGACATAAGATGAAAATGGTCGAAAATTGGACTTGTATTCTGTCCTCTTCTCTCTTTTCCTAAGTAGTTAAGATTGAAAAAATTAATAGCCATTCTGAACTCAGGTTAAAAGTTCAAAACATTTAATACATTCTTTTGCATCTTGAGTAGGTAACAATTACTTCAACAAAGAAAAAGCAACTAATATTAAGGTTATATTAATTTCTAATTTAACTTTTTCACTTCTCAAAAATCAATAAATCAACTCTCCACATACTTCCAGTAACAGCTCTTGCTAAGATATTATAAAATAACTTTAACTAATGACACAGAGAAACAGAATCTAGAACATAAATCAATGGTTCTACCTGAATAGACTTTATTTTAATTAAGCTAAACGAAATTTTAAAAGCAGAAACAATTATCTCTCTATTTACTCCCATTACATCCATTGAGGACGCCAGCATTCAATAAAATAATAGAAGCTCCTTGGCTTGCTGAGTTATTGTATCCATTAAAAGAAACTAGTAACTCTTTTAAATATTTTAGTGTGTCGGAAGAAGTAAGTGTCACCATTTCATAAATCAATCAATTAGTAATCTAGCTTTTTGAAACCCTCCACTTTAATAAACAAAGAAAATGTCCACAACCTTATGGCTTTAATCTTCTTCAATTATAATTGGAAAAAAATCCATTCAAATGCAGATAAAATTCAAAGAATAGAAAGCAAGATCATTTAAGCTAATAGGAATCCTTTTAATTTACTCTTTTTTTTCTCAATCCCTGTAAATAATAAGAATTCAGTACTACTTTTGTGTAAAATCAAATAAAAAAGTAATTATTAAAACATGGACTTGTCTGTAAATATACCACTTTGTGCTCTATAGCTTCTCATGTATCAGATTTAAGGAAGAGAAATAGCCCAGTAGCCTAAAACAAATTCTCAGAGCATTCAAGTAAAATTTCATTGCTCCAAAACTTACTTTGGAATAATTCTAAGAACTATGAACACCACGGCATGGTTATGTTTAATAAATGTATGTAACAGCCAAATATAAAACAAAAATTATTATCACACTTCACAATGCACTACATGAAATTATAAACCAAGGGACTTAATTTCAAGTTTTTTCTTACATTTATCTCCCTTACTTTAGTTTTTATGATAAATGGATTCTTTGGTGAATTTTATCTCTGGTGCAAATTTTGGATGTGTTTTATGTAACTTATATAGTTTTAGCACATAAAATTTCATCAGATGCATCATGTTTACAGGTCTCATAAAACTAATGCAGTTTAGAAAAATGGTAGGTATGAACTAAAATGTCTGGCTTATCCTGAGATTACATCAGAAAAGCATGACAACTAGATGAAGACACATTTTCAGAATGTAGAAGGCCAAGTAAAATCACAACTAAGTCTCTGCTGATGCCAATTAGGTCAAACAAATACAATTATCCATGAACTCACTGGGTGTGTGTTTCAGTAGAGATTCAATAGGATATAGGATAGCGTGCATGCATGTTATATTGGAACTGTCTATGTCACTGCTGCAACTGAGGACACTAAAATCTGGTGCTGAACTACTGCCAGTAGCCAAGAAGGCAGAGAGAAGCAAGAAAGTAAGGAGTAAAAGAAAAAGGAAGACAGTAGCTCAACTTGTTTCACATTCAAAGATGGAAAAACAAAATCTACATAAGCAGTAATTGTCTACTTGATATATGTATCGGAAGAGAACAGAGTACAGACAGATATGTTAGAGTATGAATAAACAAAAAATAATTAGTAAAGAGGTTGATGATTATATGTTTATCCAAACATTTTCTCTTAATGAATATAACAAATATGCTTTTGTTTGTATTTCAAGTCTTTCTCTCTTCATTCAAACCCTTACTGTAATCATTCCTAAGAGTTGGATAAACTTATGAGATACAGCTCATTCAGTATAAATTAGTGTACGCAACCTAATGACACAATATAGTTTTATCCCATCTCAAAGATAGGTCATGTGACAATTGCAGCAAAACATAATGTCACAGACATGCCTTCAAATATAGTGACGTTCAATATCCTATATGTGGAAAACATAGTTTGGATTAAGAAGTATTTGTCCATTAATAGCCAATTGAAAGTTGAAATATTTTCAGCATTATTAAACTAGATAAAACAATCACTCAAACATTTTTCTGAGAGATACCTCTAAGCATCTTCCAGAAATATTAATTTTTGGAATCCAAAACTAACATGCTTTACATTACCACAAAAATTTAAACTACTTGCTCACAGAAGCAGTTTTCATACAAAATATCTTGTAACTTTAGCTTTAAGAATAATTTGTTCATTTAATCAAGTCTGGCTTTTAAATTGTGCTTGTGAATACTTTTGTTCTGATTTCATGTTATACTGTACTTGTACACAAACCCTAAAAAAGTTACATTTATAATTTGTATTAGTATATTGTTAATTCTTCATTAGTAAATGTACAGACAAGTTCAGTATTCTATGTTAACAAAAAGTAATGTCTACCAACCTGAATTCATGAAAAAGGAATAATTCACAATTTTAAGTTAATCATTTTATTTTATTTTTAAGATATTGATATTTTTTTGCAAAACCCAATTCATTTCACATACTTACTTTTATAAATGACAAAGCATTACACACATTACTATAGTATTTCCCAGGGTCCCTTTATACGATTATAATTTCTCAAAATGCTACACAAGTTTCATAAACATCAGTATATGAATTTTATCCAATTTTAAGGATACTATGCTTGAGTTTCTTTTGTACATGTTTTCAAACATAATGGAGGTGGAAAGTTTTTTTTTTATTTGTAAACAAATTATGCAATTCAATAACTTTTATTTAATAAAAAATGGTTTCATTTTTGCTCATAGGAAAGGAAGAATGTCTGCAAGTCAGGACAAAAAGAGTCTTAATTGCAAGGGGAATGAGGCATTTGGATGTGAGAAAGGAGTTGTTAGAGAAAGAAAATAGCATAAACCCTAATAACAAGCAAGGAGGAAAAAAAAATATATAAAGCAATACCAAGAAATGGGTTCCAGGAGTGAAGAATGGGCAACATTGAAGGATACAGGCAAAAGATAAGGAAAGAAACATAACTGAGAATGATATCCAGAAAAAGATTTGAAGGTGAAGGTCATTTTTCGAATGGTAAGGCTCTACCCAAAGCAAACCAGGTTAAATTCATAGTCCAATAGATCATTTCTGACTGAGGAGAAAGAACTTCAGCTGATGGAATCTGAGTAGGAGGCCCATTAAGCATGTGGTAATCCACAACCTGTCAAAAACTGGCTGCAATGTTCTCAAAAATTAATGAGCCTCCAGAAGCCACAACAGAAATAAGGCCTTTGTAAGTAACATCAACACCAAAAAAATGTACTAAATAGAAGTCACTGTCACTTGAGAATTCTTGATGAAAAACTAAATCCCATGAAATACAAAAGTCAAAGCAAATGAAAACTAAAATTTTGTTAACAAATGCAAATGTCAACAAAGTGAACTCAGACAAGAAAAACATATCTGTTTAATGCAATGCTGAGGAGAAGAATTAAGTTATCATGAGTGCAAGTGAATAGGGAGAGTTACTGCACGTGCAGGTTGTGTCACCCTCCTATTAGTGAGAGACTTTTGTCACATGATGATGTCTTCATGCACCAGTGCATTCATGTTAAAACAGATGAAATTATGTGGAAGTTGCCTCAAGACTGGTGGCATGCAAATCTTTTATGCAGACACACAACAAAGATAGCTATTCTGTGTGAGAAGATGAGTTATCATCTTGCACACAAGTTTTAGTTGTAGGATTTTAAAAATGTTTTTGACCTTAAATACTACACCATATAATTTCACAAGTACTTATAAGAATATGTGATTTGTACAATAAACTGTGCCCCTGCTGATACTTTGAGGTAAACAGTGAAACTTACACATAATTATACTTTGAATTACATTTCATATAAAAAAAATTTGATTAAGGAGCCAACTTTAGCTTTCAAAATAAAAGTTTTCTAAAACTTAACTTTTCACAAATCATTCATAAATGTATCACACTTCGAAAATATCTCATAAGTCAATCTACATGTAGTTAAATGTGTCGATTTATTCTGCAAACTTCACCCATCACACTAAAGAAAGGAACTGAAAATTGTGCTAACTCTTCAGTCAATGGGTTATCTAGTATTTCTGTATATAAAATATGATAAAAGTCAAAAAGTAGTGAAAAAAAGATTCCAGATAAAGCATTCAAAATTTTATCAAAATAAAGTAAAAAGCTTAGTGCATACATTTATTGAGACGGAAAGCACATGTAACAAACCACCATGTGATCATTCTAGGACCAGGGAAGGTATATTACAAGCTATACCGAGACACAAGTAATGTTCAGGAATTATCTCCAAAAATTAGTTATAGCAACAGTTTAGTTACTGTATGTACAAAGAATCCAACTATTAAACCAGTTTCATTTTTAAAAGACGTTAGGTTATTAGACATATATCTTGTACAGTAAAAATACTCTATTTTAGTATATGATTATTGGAATTTGTGCATTTTATGACAGAATATGGAAAATTAGTTTTAATTAATTCATCTACAATAAAGAACTGAGTACACAATTACAATTCACAATTACTAAGAATTACTTTATCTGTCATTTTATTCTTCATTACCCTTTTTTTTAGTACTTTATATATTCTCCATCTGATAGCCTAAATTCTGTAAATTTATCCATCAGCAATTATTTCATGAAAGTAGAGCTTGTTTGAAAATTCAAAATTGTCTTCAATGTTTTGTAGAACCTAGCTATAGTATCATGTCAGGTATTGTCTGTTTGGGGCAGTTCAGGTTTTACAAGACTTAGCATGTCTGGAAATCAATACAAATCTACCTTATATATAGACTTGAACATTTTGCTAGAAACTTGTCATTATAATAAATTATTTTCTGACCTTGAACTTGTTTGCTCTTCACCATTCTGCCCTTCTTGTGAATCAGAGCTCCTATCTAATGAAAATTTATATAAACTGACCTCAACAGAATGACATTAACTTCAAAAAAAATCAATGTTTGAAAAATAATTCAATAACTTACAACTTTATTTGAATAGCTATATAAACAGAGAAATAATTAGGAAATTAACAAATACTCCTGTTTTAGTTACAAGCTTTTTTATAATATTTTAATAAAAATATGAATTTCTATGTAAATGTGAAAGCTTAAAAAGTGGACTTTATCAAAATAGCCTTTGTGAGTTACAGAAAATTGTGAAAAAAAAAGTTCAGAAAGTCTTAAGAATATGCATTTAACTGATAAATATGAATTAGTGGTGTATCTATTATTTGAAGAAATAATTGAACATTACTTTGAACCAAAGTACATCCAACCAAGACTCAAACCATGCCATACGGATGTTCCCTACACTATTAAACCTTCTTCAATAGCTTGCACCAGGGATTCTCAAACTGTGGTACACGTACCACTGGTGGTTCGTGGAACTAATGTTGGTGGTACATGACACAATTAATATAAAAAAAATCATGAAATTTGTAATAAGCCCATTTTGAGCTCACTTACAGACTCACCCTCTACTTGCATAGACTCGCTAGTATTTTCTTCCCTTAAAATTGGCAAAAATGGTACCACATGTTTTTCAATTGTGCCAGAAAAAATAATCGCATCCTTCGCATAAATGGGTAAGTGTTAAAAATATGAATTTTTTGCTAACTAGGTTTTTTATCTTTTTTTTAAATTAGGTCTGGGTTTGTAAATTTTAAAAAATAAACAAAAAGTGGTACACAAGCATGAAACATTTGAGAACCAATGGCTTACGTTGTTAGAACAACTTGCACAGGATCAAATATTTTTTTTCCCCACATTTGTACTCCAACATCTGTTGCAATAAATATTGAAATGAGACTCATTAGACCAAACCACAAACTTTCAGTCAATCACTATCCAATGTCCACTGTTTTGTCATGAGCACCAATGAAACTATGTTCTCCCACTTGCATACAAATTATCTGGATTCTGAAATGGTTGTTCACTGCCATATGACAGTTTTTGCACTGTACAGTTAGAGATATTCATACCTTGGCCACTACTAAGGAATCAATCAACTGGCCCATGATCTGACACCTACTGCATTTTACAAATATGTCTAGTAATTTTCACTCTTGGCTAGTCACCGGTAATTGGCAGTAAAAGAAAGGGTTTTTAATAAAGATGTCCATTTACAGGCATCAGCTCCCACATCTCTTTCAATACTTGAGAAATCAATGCACTTACTCATTGTCTTGCAGACTCTATATCTCTGCATTTATAAGACTCAATCAATTATCCCACACATTACATGATCAGTCTATCATGCATGTGCAAATAGATTGGGTATTATACAAATAAATTTAGCCCCTAATGTAGTAGCCAGTCAGTCTATTTACTAAGAGAAATGTCTTACATTTTACCATCATCATGTTTTTACATTTATAATATCTTATGTCATTTCACATATTGATTTTAAAACTTGACAGTTATCAAATTTAGCTGAGACTGTAAGAATTAAACAAACTCTACATCAATATCCATGATACTGAAAGTGTGTCAATAGCTAAACTAATTATTTTCATGAATAACTTTACTGCTGCTAAATATAATTAAAAAGAAGTTGAGTTCCTAATACAGGAACAAACTTTCACATGATGCTGCCTAATAAATGATATGTGTGACAGATTGAAGAACACATTAGAAGTTGTCTTTTAGTTGGAAGACATTCAATTTGATAAAAGTTAAGTACAATTCTAAAATTTATAAATATATTAGAATAAAAAAGTTGGGATTTATCTTTCATCTGATTGTGAATTACATTTTGTTTGGATAAGCACTCCTTTTACTACAACATTAAGTATATTTATTATTTTACCACGAATAATAGTAACAGTGTTTTTCTTTTAATTTTCTTTGGTATCAATTTCAGTCTCAGGTGAGTATTTTATGTCATGTCTGCAAGAATATGACATTAATCTGATATACTGCCATTCTGTACAACTGAGATAAAATGCCAAAATACTAGTTCCAAAACACTTACTTTTAAAGGACAAACAAAATAGAGACCTTGCTACAGTTTTATAACTTTTCTGTGAATCAGAACAGAATCTCAGGAAAACCACTTTCTACAATCCTAACTTATCGTTATACCTTCTGTCAACTTTAATCCCGAGTAAGCTATCCTGTGTGCTTCAGTTAGCTCTGGTCCATCTCCAGGCCAAGCAAACTTTGATCGATACTCTGTTGCCTTGGGAACAATTGGTGCATCCCCAGTAAGTGTGGGATTCCTATGTAGCCGAGAAGGAGGATAGCTCTGAACCATGAGCTGTTGAGGAAAGATAACAAAAGTCATAAAGCTCTTGGATACAGAACATTTCATATGATGTAAATTGACAAAAGGATATTACAGACTAGGCTTATTTTCTCCCACTGCTCCAAGATTATGGTAACTAATTAAGTCACTCAGTCTTGAAAAATACAAAACATTAATTATAATTCTTATATTCAAGGTTAATATCCATTGATACTTAAGCCTTGCAAACATAGATAAAACCTAGCTGAACACAATTTAACAGTGTAATCAGATTTATACAGGTAATATTTACAGAACATACAAAGTTATGTTCTTGTTAGTCAAACAAAAATACTACTGACAACATTAAAATAATATTGTTGCTAAAGACATGGTAATCTTAGCTATATTACAGAAAATAAACATGTGAAGTCACATGTAATTTAAGGTTAAACTAATATTTAAAGTAAAATGAAAAGTGTGAGGTAGAAAACAGAATGAAAATATCAATCACTAAAAAAGGATTGTAGTAAATGAAGATAGTAAAAAGTTTAAAAGAAGGCAGTCATTTTCTATCATAGCTTTTCTACTATTAAGCTTGTTCTTTTATTAATTGAAATTATGAAAATTAGGTAGTATTGTAACCTCATGGAACATTCTTTACTTATCTAATAGAACAATACTCATGAGTATAAGCAAAAACATTAGCACCTTCTTATGGATGTGATCTTCAAATGTAACATTTGTATTTGTAAGTTATCCACCAATGCTCAAAACTATTTAGGTAGATGTGTGGTATTCCAAAACCCTAAGCAGATGAGGCACACAGTCATCTAACCATTGTAACAAAAACAGGTACATAGAAAGATAAGTGTGGCAATTTGTTTGCTGAATGAAATAGACAAGAACAGATGTGAAGACAACAAACACTTTAATGATGAAAACAGAAGGCTCCAGAAACAAAAGGTCATCATATAGCTGGTAAGATTGATTGCTGGAGGTTATGAAAGTAATAATTAAACAAAATAAAATGCTATAATTGATGAGAATAAAGTTATAATTTGAAACTGAACCTGAAGATGGTTGAATTACTTTTAAATTGTATGATCAGCAGCAGCACAATGCTAATTATAAAAACTAGAGATTAAAATATATACAATACTTTAACAGTAAGTCTTAGCTCTTTCATAGCTGAGTAAGATCTCTCTCAAAGCATGAAAATCACCTTCAAAGTTCATGTTTTCTTGATAAGTGACCAATCACATGGCAAATTCTAGGAATCTGATAATATTTTTCACCCCATGTAACAACTACACACCTGGAAAAAAGTTAAGCACCCCCAAATATTTTTCAGGATTGCT